ATGAGCAAAAAGCGGAACAAGTTAACGGTGAAAATGGAGAAGGTGTGGAAACTATTCCAGCTTGCGATATAATTCGTATTACCGGTCAACCTGAAAACGTTGCTGCCGCTAAGCAAGCTTTACTCGATCTCGTCCCTATTACGATTCAAGTTAGTTAATATTCTTGTATTAATGTACTCTTATAATTATAGAACTAGTCTTAAGCAAGATTTTTCCCTTTTGCATTTAGGTTGATGTTCCGTTTGATTTCCATCGTTCGATAATTGGCCAGAAAGGTAAAGATGTACGTGAATTAATGAATACATATGACGTACACATCATGCTTTCTCCAGCGGAGGAAAAGTTGGATTACATTAAAGTAACTTTTTTTTATACATTGATTATTGGAATAATAATACAAATATTTATCTCATTAGTACTTATCTTTTATCTATTTCTTAGATTTCTGGAACACCATCCTGCGTTCAAAATGCCAAGGAAGCTATCCTTGAAAAATGCGAGGCTTTAAAAGCCGAACGAGAAGATCGAGCATTAAAATCGTTTGAATTAAAGGTAAGTTCATTATTAATTCATGGTTGATTTTCCAATAAATTAAAATTTAGAATATTTTGAAAAAAAGATGTCGAATATTTTTTAAAGAAAAATAATAAATAATATAAATAATAACACATCAAATGTTATTATGAATTACATAATTCACATTTATTCAATTAGCTTGAAGTTGATCCGGAATATCATCCAAAAATTATTGGGCGAAAAGGAGCGGTGATCAGTAAAATACGTAGTGATCATGACGTTCAAATTATCTTCCCGCGCAAGGGTGATTCCGAGGAACATATTATTACAATAATGGGATATGAGAAGAATGCATTCAGTGCACGAGATGATATTATGAAGATTGTCAATGAATTGGTAATTCAGTTTTTATATAAATATTTCTATAAAAAAATATCCATCATAGTTTATATATACTTCTTTGTCCTCCAAAATGATTCAACGGAACAGTCACAAAAATACTTTATACTAAGAGTTTTATTTAACACAATTTATTATTTTCTCTTATTTACTTGTTAGAATGGTTTAACAAAAGAGGAAGTGCAAATACACGCTGCAGTTCATTCCCGTTTAATCGGTGCAAAAGGTAGAAATATCCGTAAAATAATGGAGGAATTTAAAGTTGACATAAAGTTTCCGAGAAAAACCGATGCTGATCCCAATATCGTAACTATCGTGGGAGCGGAAGACAAAGTAGCCGAAGCGAGGGAACGTTTACTGAATCTAGAGGAAGAATACGTAAGTAACGTTTGCTTGAAGTTATTTATAATGTAAGTAGAATTTTACAATTATAATTGACAAAAAAATACAATGGCAGATGCAAGATGTGATAGAAAACGAATATCGTGAAAGTTTGCGTTCGCCTCAACGTGATGACGGTAACATCGGTGGTAGTGAGAATGATACCGGATTCATCGTGAAAGGCGGACCATGGGAACAGCAACAGCAGCCTCAAAGCGCACCGAATACAGCTAGTGTAGAAGAATTCCCGCAATTCGCTGGTTACTCTCATGTACCCGTTGTAACTCCAGACGGTCCTTGGGGAATTAAGCGTTAAATCCGAAAAAATTCACACTAAAAATCAATTGATGAAACCTAATAAGCTAACGAGATGTAAGGTAACTTTCCTCTGACAAACGGTATGTAAAACACACATATGAGCGTACACATAACACATAACACATACACACATGAAACACATCTTACACTTGCATATGCACTTGTGTTGGGTGGTTCCCTGTTCCATTACTGACGTTGTTGCTGCATACGACCTGGCCATTCTATTGGACTCTGACACTGGTTTACTACACACAACGTTTGACGACGATGTTTATATTTACAATTCATAATACCGATGTCCTATGTATCTGTAACTGTAATGCATGTTGTCTTGAGTTCGTCGCCATGATACTCGGTCCAGTCGGACGTACACATGTACGTCAATTTAATCTCGTGGCTTTCATTTTTAATGATATGCTTTCCAGGTACAGATATGTTGTACTTAAGACTGTGGCTTCGTGGGAAATAATCGAGTCAGCGTTCTGCGGAAGAACTAAATCCTAAAAAATTCCAAAGTAGAATTATTCTATAGTATTTTCTACTCTATAGAAAGGCAAGTTGTTCGTGAATACAATTTGTATTCTATGATTAAACAAATTTTTGTGTATATTAGTTTCTTCCCGCAGAAACTGGCCGATTTATTCGTGTATTATATTATTTTCACAGATAATCTTTGTACTACGTATAGACCACTAACAGTCATACGTTGATCTTAGCATAATAATTTGTTAATTTATTTATATCTTTTTTGTACATATATCACATTTTCTCGTTATTTTGTGCCACTTAAGTGAAGTGGTTTCTAAACTACATCACGATTGTTGAAATTTATATTATAAAATTTTCATGAATCAAAAAAAAAAGAGGAAACGTAGGGGCTTTCTAGGAAAAAGTTTGTTCCTTAGGGGGGTTACGCAATTTTTAATTACATTAATTATTACCAATTCGACTTACGTCTCCGTGATTTTAATACAAATGAGAGATCTGTCGATGCATTGAATGCATACTTATCAATAATGATGTCCAAGATTTGGAATCGGAGGTTGAAACCAGTATAATCTTCAGTAAATGAAATTTTTGATGCTGTATAGAAACAGGAAAATGTGTTTTATGCCATTTCTCACATTTGCATTGTTCTCAGTAAATAGAAATCATTTTCTTGTACCTGTAACATCAAAATGAATTATTATACTATTTTTAATCATTATAAGAAATCAATGTTGTATGTTCAAGAAACACGATATTTAGAAGGCCTTGATCCCGCGTCGCTTATTCATTAAGATTACGTTCCGTTGCATGCATAATGCGCATGATGTATCATTTATCCTTGTTTAACACTGCGAATAAGGATAAAATGATACCTCAAGCGCATTAATGCGTGCAACGGAACGCAGCTTAAGATATACGTGAAATCGGCACTTTGCAAAGAATGGTCAAATTAAATCCGTTGAATGATATTATGAATAGTGAACGATACACGAATTCCTTTCGATAGCCGGCTTTATTTATTCGTTCTACTTTAACATTTTGTACACTGTTTGATGTGCAAATCTTTGCATTCTACTATTTATGAGGCCAACTAGCTAAGAAAAGGATATTCAGTTCAAGTGCCTTGTCTATTTTCTTCGAGACAGCTCATTTCAATTGTTGGAGGAATGTGAATAATAGATTATACATAATTGTAAAATACAATGTATATGTATATACATATACATATATATTGTATTTATCCGGGGTATCTGAAAATCACTAGATGATAGATACTCTTAAAGATTCCTCTCATGAATTCTCAATGTAATAGTTAATAGTTTTTCGAATTAAAAATCTTTTACAAGCTATTTTGTATTTTTCGAATCTCATTTGCGGAAAAACACATTTTTAATCGTCATTTTGAAATTATCAATGCTTCGATATTTACAATAAATAAAATATTAAATAATAGATATATTTTATCTGTCGTATCATCTAGTGATTTTAGGACAGCCTGTATATATACACATCACATGTAAACACATATATAGATATCGATAATAATTATTCTATACAATATGTAATATGTAATAGAAGAAAGAGAAAGAGGTAATAGGTACCAATGTCGGTACATTGATACACTACTATTATGTGAATGAAATAATAGGATTATCATGTATACAGAAATTCACTTATATTTTTTAGATTTACAGTAATTTTTATAAATCTACTTGGTACGGCGACCTATGTGTCATCTCCAATGCATGGTAAATATAAGGAAAAGCCAGAATTAGTAAATTTTAATATGCTTAGTTTTGGCTAAGAATTTCATAGATGCTGTGCATGAATATAATTTTCTAATGAGTTATAATAAAATATATTGTAATTACATAAAACAATATTCTCTGTACACATAAGTAAATAATGTTATAACACATGGATTATATTGTAACAATATACTTACATTCATTGATCTATTTATCCATTTCCTACTACGGCATACATTCTTTTCTGCCCTTTCAAAATCTCAGTTCCAAGTAAAATAACTCACAAAATCAAAAATATATATGTATAATATAAAATAATTCCTATATTTTATTTTATTATAAATATTATGAAATATATAAAATTATTCAAAAGTACTGATAAATAATTTATCAATATAAAATAAGTACATAAAAATTCATATATTGGAACATTATGATTTATAAACAAAAGTTGTATTTTCAATACTACGTAGTTGTTTCACGAATCCATCATTAGGCTTGATACAACTTCTTTCTCTTTTCACTATATTGTAAGCTTCGTCATATGATAATTTCATAATAATCATTAAATAAGCGATAACAATACTGGCAGAACGAGAAACTCCAGCGTTACAATGCACAAGAATATTTTCTTTACGATTCATGTGTATGACATTGACACATTTTTTTATCGATGGCAATATATTCGATTCCGGTAAGTCTAACAAGTCACAAGTATGATACTGAATGTCATCACATTTTTCGGAAAGGTTGACACCTATACTCAAAATATGTCGTATTTCATACTTTTTTAATATATCATTGCAAACAGCTGGATCTTGAGAACTGAGGTACAATCCTGATATTATACTGGCTACATGCAAGTCAGGTTTTTCATCTACCACGAATGGTAGACTTTTTTCTAATTTCTTCACTTGACCATGTTCGATTTCATATTTGTTGCCAAGCTGATCCGTTATCACTGTTTTACATGATTTTAACGATGATTTTTTTTTCGCGATAAGATCTCGTAAATCCATCATGCAAAAATTAGTAAGTATTTATTATATAGATATTGGCATTAGATATCAGGATGTCAAATACATTCGTTAAAAAAGATCAATTATGTAATGTCATTATCTGCTACAATAGATTCTATTTTATACATTAAATAATATTTTTCAACTTTTGCGATTAATAGTTTTGCAACATATATTTTTGGTCTTCTATTCTTTCAATTGCAGTCCTTGTTTCTGTTCTTCCCACTGTAGTTCCTCCAATTGTGGTGTCGTCTCTTGCTCTTCTTCTGGTAATATGGTGCAACGTCTTAATTCATCTAAATCATATTCTACATTCAATAGATGTAAACCATTCGGTGGTGCAGGTGTAACATGGGTATTCCAATTATGATGGGAAGGAACTTGTAACATTACAGTGATATCTTTCTCTGTTATTTTTCCCAATCCTAATGCAATTAGGGCACCGATCATTCGTCTGACCTGAACAGAGTGTAGTACTTATAATTTTCTTACATACAAAAATGTATTTATTTGCGAATAAAGTATTACCTGATTGTACAAGAAAGATTTTGCTTTGCATGTGAAATGAAAGTATGTAAAATTTTTAGACAGTGGATCAAAAGGCATTAAAGGCTGCGCCTCTTCCAAAGTAAAAGTTTGTAAAGCACGTACATAGTGGATTTTGTGATTTGTTTTATTTATTGCTTTCGCGGTAAACGTAGTAAAGTCTTTTGTTCCCATAAACAATTGTATACCACGTCTTGCTCTATCTATGTCAAAGTTGTATGATCTGAAAGATATGTCATAATGTAGGATTGATTCGGTATCTTGAAAGATAAAAATTACAAAAATAAACGAATTTATTAGAATATTTTATTGATCAATGTATCTAGTAAATTTTTATTTTTGTAATTTTTACCCGTTTCAAGATAAAGAATCAATTCCCAGGATATTAATTTTTTTACTTCATATAATTACCTTAAATGATAAGTATGTATTGATTCTGGTAAAGATATCCTTTGTTCTCCACATATTTTAGGTATCATAAATCTGTACAAATATGTTCGAGATTTACATGCAAATCTTACATGAAAATCTTGAGTGACAGGTATACATTCTAGTAACCTATGAAAAGTATTATTTTAATAAATATGTTAACATTTAAAGCTCGATTGCACCAATATTACTTTGACTTTAAGCAAAGCTTAAAATTCTCTTTCTTTTTTTAAAGTCGACAGAAAGATAGAGAGAAAAAGTTTTAAGTCTCGCTTCAAATTAAAATAGCATTGAAACAATCGGGCCTAAAATGATTGTAAGAAGAATTTAAGATTTACCTAATGGTATGACCACATTTGGAAAAATAACGATTTACGTAACTCTTTACATCTGATGATTTATATACTATATTATATTTGTTTTCGAGCTCTACATGAGCAGTATTGCTTAAAGCATGAACTCCAGCATCTGTTCTACAAAAATATACACTTCATATCATAAAAGATCGATGAAAAT